ACTCAGGCAGTATGGTTCGATCACATATCGACAATGCAATACAATACGGTAAACACGTTGAGCCAGAAGATCCCAAGGATATGGAAGATGTGGAAGATGACAGCAAAATGATAAAATAATAAAGTAACAAAGATCAAGTTGAATTGGCACTTTAATTAGAGTATTTTTTATAATTTCCGTGAACACTATATTAGACAGAGGTTCATCGTTTCATCCTTAATGCGGCCAACTTTTTCAAAACATTCGCTGAGCATAGTAGACAGTTGTGTTTAGTGCGAGTTACTTCTGATTGTGTTTGGTGGTACAAAGATAACTTGACTTAATTTTCTCTTGATAAAAATCTGAAGTAATGGAAACCAACAGTTTCATATCAAAAGTTTTCCATAATAGCTTTATTTTAATTAATTTTATCATATAGGAAGCGGGGCGCTTTTGCCGGATAGTTTAACGCGGGGGTGGACAGAGTTGGTGCTCTGGGTACGATCCCTGCTATGGCTGTAACCGCCACCAGCGTTGAGTGAATCCTGTGCGCCACTTGACTCCATGCAAATGGACCAGTGGTTTCGTGTTGGAATAGCTCGAACAGGTGGGCTGCTGTCAGCTGCCTGCACATGTTCCGACTGGCCGCAGTCTTTTCTTTGTTGCGCATTGATTTGCTATAATTGTTTGATGATCAAAAGCGGAGCGTCGGACAGCAGTTACATGCGCAGTGGACGCGAGGCGGCGCGGCTGGAGGAGGCGCTGGGCAGTGGACAGCGCGTGGCCTATGCGGCGATTGTGGCCGTTGCGGCGGCGGAGGGCAACGAGGGCAAGGAAGGCACGGAGGGCGGCGTGTGGGCGGCGACCGTTGCGGCCTCCGTTGCGCTCGCCGTCGGCCTCACCGAAGCCGAGGCGGCCATGCTGCGCGTGCTGACCGCCGGCGACGAGTCGCGCCGCCCCGAGGACTTTGCGCTGGCCCTTACAAAGGCGACTGCCGCCCCCAGCAGCGGCAACAACGGCAACGGCAACGGCAACGACAACGACGACGACGACGGCGGCGGCGGCGGCGGCGGCGGCGGCGGCGTGCGCTGCGCCATCGTCGGCCACCTTCTCCTCGTGTGTCTCGGCTGTGCCCAGCTCCGCCTCTACGACGCCCGCGCCCGCGCCTTTGTCTTCCGCGTTGCGCGCGCCCTCAAACTCCGGCCATCAAACGTCTGCAGAATCGAACGAGCCATTTTTGCCCTCGCCGCCAAAAACGAAAATCTCAAGCCAACGATCCAACACTCAAACAGTACCACTGCAACAACTGCGACACTGCTATCGTCGCGTGCCGTCCAAGTTGCCATCGCGTCCATTGCCGGCGGAATTTTGATCGGCGCAACCGCTGGAATCGCGGGTCCGGCGGTTGCTGCCGCGTTTTCTACTGCTCATATGGCCCATTGCGGGATTTCCGTCGGTGCTATCGGTTTGTTCGCCACCACCGGTGCGGTGACTGCTGGCGGTGTTTCTGATTACAGTTACAAGCTTGCGAAAAAGTCTCGCGGAATTTCGCAGTTTGAGATTACGCTGATGGACGAGCGGAGCGAGAAAACTCAAGAACAAAATGAGGTCGAGAGCAAAAGAGAGGTCGAGTTCGAAGGTGACATCAAAGTTGAGGGTGACATCAAGGTCGAGAGTGAGGTCGAGGGTGAGGGCGAACAAAACGAGAAAAATCTCATTCAAAATGAGCACAACCATCATACCTATCAAAGCAATCCACAACATGAACATCAACAACAAAAAATCCAACCAAACTGCATCATCACAATCCCCGGTCTCTTAAACAACACACTACACCTACATTCCACCGAAAAGCATACCGAAGCACAACAAACCAACCCTTTTGCATTCCTCAACAAATCGACACAAGGAACAATATTCAAGTTAATTTACGAATCCGACGCGCGTGCATCCACAACATCCGCAATAACGCTCATCTCCTCGCTCCTCCTCTCAGCAAAAACCACAACTGCCAGCATAACGTCAATCAACAAACAGACACAGCACCGTCGCACGTTCATGACAACAACAACGACCGCCATGCTCGAGAAATCCAAACAAGCTGGAATTTTGCTTGCCGAAGCCCTCATTGCGCGCCACGTGCAGGGAATGAAACCCGTAACACTGATCGGCGCGAGTTTTGGCGGTGTCGTCGTAATACATGCGCTTCTCGAGTTGCACAACCGGCGCAGTCGCAGTCGTGGCTCGGATAACGATATTTTGGCGCTCGTGGATTCGGCGGTTGTGATTGGGGTGCCGGCGCGCATGACGGAGGACGCATGGCGGCGATGTAAGGGGATTGTTGCGGGACGCTTTGTAAACGTGTACAGCACGCAAGACGCGTTTTTGCGGGCTTTAGAGAATCACGGCGATTGCAGCACGAATGGCGTTGGCTGTATTGCTGGTCTCGCGCCCGTTGACTGCTTCAGCAACGCGCCTGCTGATCGCAAAAATGTAATTGAAAATATCGCGGTGGATCATTTGGTGGCGCGACATTTTGAATATGCAAATTGTGTTGTAATGGCGCAGGTTTTGGAGAGAATTGGGTTTGACGTTGATTTCGGCGGCGAAGGTGGCTGCGATTTTGAAAGTTTGGCGAATGGTGCTGGAGATGTTGATGCTGATGTGGCGTTGAATCTTGTGGACGCGCACACCAGATTCGCTACGTTTTTGAGAAAGGATTTGGAGGCGGGTGTTTCTGCGGCAGAGGATGCCGAGTCAAAGAGGCGCGAGTTTGAGAAGAAAAGGTTGAAGAATAGCAGTAGAGGGTGGTTTTGAATCTTTTCTTTTTTTTAGATTTATGTCTTGCGTATATATTATTATTTCTTTTTTTTTCCCCCTTTATTGATAGTGCAGAAATTCTTTTTTTTCTTCTTTTTATTAAGCAAATACGCTGTTTTTTGTGGACAGACAAGCAAAAAAAAAAAAAAAAAAATTTTTATTTCGTGACGAGAAAAAGTTGGTGTTGTTGGAAGAACCGGATTCGGAAAATCTACCCTTATGGACGCGTTTTTTCGTCTTTTGGAATCGACAGCGAAGACATTGCAACTGTTGGGCTCAAAAAGTTGCAAACAAGCATTCAAATGATTCCACAGAGCCCGACTCTTTTTGACGGAACTGTTCGATCCAACATTGACACACTTGGGAAATATTCGGACGAAGAGCTCTGGTACGCACTTGAATGCGTTGGTATGAAAGAGGACGTGTTTAGTTTGTCGAATAAACTGGATTCAGTCATTACAGAGGGTGGAACGAATTTATCGACGGGTCAACGACAGTTGTTATGTCGCGCGATTGTGCTACTAGAAAAATCAAAGATTTCGATAATGGAACAGTTTTGAGTGTTGCACATTGGTTAAACACGATCACAGCGTTTGATAAAGTTCTGGTGCTGGAGAATGGGCAAGTTGCAGAATTTGATGCACCACATGTGTTGTTAGCAAACCCAAGATCCATTTTCAGTGAAATGGTGGATGCAACTGGTGTTGCAAATGCAATTGTGATTGCAGAGGTTGCAAAAGCACATTATGAGTCTCGAAATTAAATTAAATTAATTTTTAATGGTCATTTTTTACTTAAAACTACCATTTTCCAAAAATGAAAATAAAATAGACTCATATGTCTTGGTTTTTCAACTGCTTTTGCCACTAAATATTATGGTTTAAGCACCAAATATCTAAAATGGAAACCAGATTCTTCTCAAGAAGCACTAAGAACTTTTTGTGTTTGATTCAATTTGTGTCAATTTGAAACTAGTGAAGCCATCAACTAACAGATCTGTGAGATTCTCACATTACGGTTCAGTTTATTCAAAACACCTTGACTTTATTCAATAAATATCTTTATGAAGATTTGTTTATTTATACCTTACTTATTTCTTTGTTCATACTTTTTTGGTTTTCACTATTGATTTGTCTTTTTTCTCTTTGGGTTTTGCGGTTGAATTATTGAATTGAAGATGTTTTGAAAAATATCATGTTGTTTGCACAGCCAGAAGTACATCAAGCTCAACCAGTGTCTTTGCACCACCATGGTCTTCCACCATGAAAACAACACTTAGGGCTGCTGTCTTGAACTTGCAGCAGCCCCAGGGATAAGTGCTCATCTTTTTTTTGCATCCTTTTTTTCGCCCCCCATACCTTCCATGACACTTAAGACAGGTTGAGCAATGCTATGAAACAAGCACAGGAATCTATCTGTTCAATTCAATTCAAAAAAAAAAAAAAAAAATTATTAAAGCAGCAATGGAAAATGTCAACACAATATCAGCTAAAGTATAAACCGCGCAAGAATTACCAAAGTGATTGTACTTGGTTGTTGGATTGTCTGTGATAAAGCTGCAAATAAAGCCAGATGAGGTAATGAAAACAAATCAAACGTACACCTTCAAAGGAGTTTGACAAGCACAACAGCAGGCTCTGGACAAAAGAAAAGTAAGGCTGACGCGATTGCAAACAAAAAAAAATTACGTTTTCAGGCAAAAATTGACCAGGAGACTGTTTGTTTGGTTGAAAAAATCTCACAACATGTGATGAACAATTAAACAATAAAAGATGTTCAATTAAATACCACAATGGAACAAAATGGTTAATCGGCTTGGTTTGCAAAGAGCTCAGACTATGCCCTTGCTGCAAGGCACATAACAAGGACCAACTGAACATGCACAATTAAAGTTACAAAGAAAGTGGTTGATTTCATTTTATTATCTCCCTCTCATTGTATGGAAGAATCATTCCTCTCTGCTTTCATTACTTCAAATAAAAAAAATTTTTTTTTCTTTATTTTCAACTCTCATATGTATGTAGTTGTGTTTCAAAAAGGTTGCAAAGACATTTTTGTGTTCGTCGGATTACAGAACATTTGTCCACTTCACAAAATCACTCGTTTATTTCGTCTGGCTCATTATTTTTGCAAACGGCTGGAAAACAAGCATTTCACTGTGATCGCAACAAACATAGGATCTATTGCGTCTGAAACAAAAATGCTCGGAGCGAGAGTCGAACTCGCGACCTTCGGATTATGAGACCGACGCTTTAACCAACTAAGCCATCCAAGCATATGCGCTTCGTAACAAAATAATTATTTCTTACAGTTATTCACATTTTTTTTAAGCCGTTCTGGAAAATTCTACAAGAAACTCAATAACTCAAAATTCTAGAAAATTCTGCAAGAAACTCAATAACTCAAGAACCAAAATGACCTACTTCAAGTGACATCTTATTCTTCTATATTTTCTCTATCACTTTATCAATTCTTATACTTTTATTTCACTTTTATTGTTACTTTCTTATTTCTTCATTTTTCTCTTTTTCTCTTTAATTTTCTTTTTCTGGAAACTTCTTTCTTTCTTTTTCAAATCCAAAACTATAAAAACCTGAACTATGAATGCAAATAAAAAAGGAATCTTCTAAAAACCTAACTCTTTGGCAATAAAACCTACTTACTAGAGGTTCATTCCGTAACCTTTGGTAGCACCAGCTATACGAGCTATCTCTTCTGAATACTTCTACTACTACTACTAGTACTTCTACTACTTCTACTACTTCTACTACTTCTACTACTTCTACTACTTCTACTACTTCTACTACTTCTACTACTACTCTGCTATTATCCACATTTTTCCATCATGGATCTTATTATGAATACTGAGGAAGCTATTGTCTTGGATGAAGCTGTGAGACGCCTCATTGCTCAACAACAAGCTCTACAACAAATAATTGCCAATCAAGGAACAAACCTGGAAGCCTTTCAACGTATAATCACTGAGCAAAATCAAGTCATTAACCTTTTGACAGAAAAACTCAATGCACTTGATCCCACCATTGGAAGCTCTCAAAATTTTACTACTGATCTCAACTCATCACAAAGACGCTTACCTGATTTTAAAATGCCTTCTGTCAAGTCCTTGGAATTTTCTGGAATTTTTAAAGGTAAAGCCGCTCATGAGCTTCAAAATTCTCTAGATGATTACCTGGACTGCTCTTTGGAACTATGCCAACTCTACAACTTTGCAAGAACTATTGGGACTGCTACTCACGCTGGACAGCCAACTTATGTTCAATTTGTCTCATCTAGACTCACAGAACGTGCACATATTGCCTGGAGACTACTTACTGAACAACAACGCATTGAAGCAACTTGGGACTTCTATAAACAATGGATTCAACGTACATTTGGCTCTACTTTAACTTTGTCACAAGCTATGGAAGCTATGGAAGACCTACATCAAACTGGAGCTGCTACTCAATACTCTGCTGCCTTCAATGAACTTGTCTCTGCAATCTCTGCTGCTGGTGTCACTTATCCTGAACAACATCTGTGTGTTAAATATCTTAATGGACTCAAGTCTCATCTTCAAACTATGCCTGATCTCTACCGGATCCATAATAACTTGAGGAAATTACAACACGAAGCTGAAACAATCAATGACCTTTATTTTCGCCGCAATCACAAGCCACAGGCCAAAATTCAGCCCACCAAATTTCAGAACACCAGTAACACTAACCAATTTCAAACACAGCGTCTTTCCAACACATTTCCACAACTCAATGACCCAATGG